CAGCTTAAAACTCCAGAATTGAAACTGAAAGATCATTCACAAGCCCATACTCCACATAATGACTCAAGAAATTAGAGTCAAGGACCAAACCTTCGCCGATGAACTGTTGAAGTTGAAGTTCAGTTTCTCCAGCACCACTGATAAAGCCACGTCATCCGCTTCCTCTTCTGCAAATTGGTAATCATGTATGTTAGGAGTCGCTCTACAAATTGAAAGTCTTACAAGCACAAATATGCAGAGTCACACAACTAGGATGCATAAGAGACAGAGAGAGAGAGAGAGAGAGAGAGAGAGAGAGAGAGAGAGGAAAAAAAGCTCTATAAATATACCGGTGGTGGAGTCGCCCATGAGTACGGCTGGAGATTTAGGATTTGGAATTTTGGATTCGATTTCGATCTTCTTTTGAGTGAAGAAGAAGATTGAAGATGCAATTTGGAGATTGAAGGATGCAGAGAGCGAAGAAGCCCGATTGAAGATGCAATATGTGAGACTGGGTTTTTTTTTTAGGATTAACTGATTAAGTTTTAAGTGACCCGGTTTAGCCACCAGGCTGATCAGACCGATGGTTTGGTACTATTTTACCGGTCCGTTCCTGGTCCAAATGGATTTTAGGTGTAACTGACCTGACAAAACAGGTTGGGATCCACAGATCGACCTCATATCCGGGTAAATTATATATGGTAGCTTTACCCGTTTTGTAAACGGGTAGATCGGGTACACTCGCGGATGCCCGTGGGTGCCTATTTTTAATTTAAAGAAAAAAGGTTTTTCTCTTTCTCTCTCCAAACTTAACTTCTCTTCTATCCCATCAAACTTTTTGGCCTATCCCATCAAACTTTTTGGTAGGTAGAGTTAGCTAAATTTATTCACAAAGAATAAAACTATGTGCACTAACCAATGTATACTAATCTAAGTACTAACATTGAAAATTTGAAATTTCCTCCAAAAAAAATTCAAATTTTCAATGTTAGTACTTAAATTAGTATAAATTGGTTAGTGCACATAGCATTACTCATTCACAAACTTCTCTTCTCTTGTTCATTCATAGTCCGCCTCTTTCCTATCAAAATCATTCACAATCTCCACTCGTTCCCCTTTCCTAACCCACTAATTTTTCTTCCCAAAGAGTTTTTCAACAACCAACTCTTCTTCTTTGCGACTAAGGGGCTACTGGTATAATAGATCCAATTGATGGCGTAAAAAAAACTTGAATTCACCCAACCCTTCTCACCTCTGGTTCATCAAGATAGGTTGTATAACAGCACATTTCCATATCTTCAAATTGTTTTCTCTTCGTGTTTCTCAAGATTTCGGAGCTTTTAATAATTTTTCTTTTATGGGTTTGTTTTGTGAGGTTGAGTTATGGGAAAGAATGAAAAACATTGTGTAATTTTGGAAACATGTTTTCTTTTCTTTTTGTTTTTTTAAGGATTTGAAGATTCCGAGGTTGTTCTTTTTTGGGTATTTGCTTTTGGGTTTGAGTTTGGTTTGAAGAATGGTGATAAAGATGATGAGGTAGCAGCCATGGTCGCCTCTTGTGAGTTGTGACAAAGAAGTACGAGGTGAAAATGGTGGTATAAAGGATGGAGGGGTGGGATCTGGCACATGAGATTGCAGAGAAGAAGGAAAAAAAAAGAACAAAGATTTGCTGTTGAGATTCGTTGGAGGGGTTCTAAAGTACTTTGAGAAGAAGGGTCAAGAGGAACTTCCCCAGAAACGGGCACTGTTTTTTTTATTTTTAGAACTGCATGACATGACAAAACTGATGGGACATACGAAATGGTATCTACCACCTTAACGCCATGTCAATTAGTACAAGATATTTGTACAGGAGATTAGTAAGGCTAACATTTTAAATATTTTTGAGGAACACTTTACATACATGATTATAAGAAGAAGTGGGTTATAATAATCTATTTTAATAAAAAAAAAAATAGGCTTTTGTAGCTTTTAGGATTCAAAACTGCGTTGCAGAGTCAAAATACCGTTCACACATACAATATAAATTAAAATAAAAACTTAATTATTTTTTTTATAAATTTAAAAATATTAAAATGGTAGAAAGTTGTCAACCAACGCCGATCAACAAATCAACAAGAGTAAAAGAAAATTAATATTGTTTTTTTTTTTAATTTTAAAAGTAAAAGATCTGGTGGTGGCCCAGGCCAAGATTTGGTGGTCGATCAATCGAGACCAAGCCACCAGGCTGGTACCGGGCAACCTAGATCACAGGAAGCCAGAGACCCGCCGCAAATCCAGCCACCCAGATCATGTAGGTCACTCGTCGTCTGGCCCGTTCATTAGAGGTGTTCGAAAAAATGTAAAAACCAAACCGATAACCGAACTGAAAAACCGGTTAACTAAAAAAACTGTTCGGTTACGATTCAAAAAATTCAAAAAACTGGATTTTCAGTTATGTTACCGGTTCAGGAAAAAAAAATAAGGGTTAACCGAAACCCCTTTTTTGAACCGATTATATATATATATATATATATATATTACTATATATAATAATATATCGTATATATATATTAAATAAAAAAATAATTTCATTTCAGACTTTTATTTGTATCAATTTTAATGTATTGTTAGTACGTTTAATTTTTATTTAGATAAGTATCGTTTATATTTACAATTTAATTTAGGAAAAATTTTAAAAAAATAAGTTTTATTAAAAAAAAAAAAAAAGGTTCAAAACCGGTTAACCAAAAAACCGGTTTTCCCTTCAAACCGGTTCGGTTTGGGAATTTTCCCAAAGCGAAAAATCGGTTCTGTTCAGAAAAGCAATTAACCGGTTCGGTTAATCGCTTTTGAACACCCCTACCATCCATGCTTGTTTCCAACTTTAATTTTTCTGTTTCTTCAACGAGTTTTACTCTCTAAGATAGTAAGATGGGGGTAATTTCGATGTTTCTGAAATTAAGGGGGGGAAAATGTTGTTTTGTGGTGAATTCAGCCCTAAAAATATGTCTAAAATAAATAATGTTCTCCTCGTTGACTGTTGGCGTTTGACAAGTCAAATTTACTAATTAATGTAAATTAATTAAGAAGACAATTTAATCCTTGGTTTACTTTATTATTTACATAAAACTTTTGACAGATAAAAATAGTTAATAATATTTTTATAATACTTTCTATGTAACTATTTAAAAGCATTTAAAGTTATTATAGTTTTCTTTCCTGTTTTAATAAAATAACTGAATTTAAGAATTAATTACCTAAATAGAAAATTTATTTCACATTTAACAGCAAAAAATATAAAAATTTTCAATTTTAAGAATAAAATCTATTTCTATCATGAATTTGTCTCATTCAGGGAGAAAAATGAATTTGAGAGAGCGACATGGCAATTGACAGCTGTAAAAGCACCGACAACTCTGGGGTATGGTGGGAATATGTGATGAATATGGGTTCTTAACAAGGTGTGTAAATTTAATTATTCAAAACTCATGAACCTTATTGATAAGTTTTCAGAAGACTTAGTATAAATCAAGTGTCGACAATTGAAAGAAGATTATTTTGAAAATGAGCAAAACATTTAGAAGTAAGAAGGGGGGAGGGTGGAACTTTCTTGGATTTGGGATCCAACGGCTCTTTTCTTTTTAATTAAAAAAAATTACTGCATCAATTGTCTCATATATTTTTTCTCATATATAGATATATGTTTTAGATTTTTAATTTTTTTAATTTTACCTTAATATTGAGAGTAGAGGATTGTATCAAAAATTATTTTTGAAGTATATTAGCTATATGAGTTTTTAGAAAATTAGTTTTTAGAAGTATATTTTGTTTGAGTTTCTATAAACTGAACCAATAATAGTTTCTAAAAACAGATATCTGGAGAAAAGAAACAACCAAATGAAGAAGAAAAGAAAGGGAATCAGGCCGAAGGTGACAAACTGGAAGGAACAGAGAAAGAAAAAAAGGTCCAACATAACTTTCTCTTCTTTTTATTATTATTTTTATTTCATATATTATAAAGTTCTACGGTAATTATATTATTTAGTCATATTAGAAGAAAATGAGAGAAATAGCCTATGTTGAGAAGTCTCACTACACTTGATTCGTGGGAGAGTGAATTGTATTTATATTCAATGTATATAACCATTTGTGTATTACAAAGGAAATAAATAAATGCATTTGCTTTACAAGGAAATAATTATTAAATTATAAGAATGAAATCAATTGCATGAGCTGTCACAAGAATCTGCTCAAACGTGTCTGCTAAACTCACAGCTACTATACATGGCATGTATCTTTGCATGAGCTGTCCCATGATTTTGTTGGCATATATCTTTGCATGAGTTGTCCTTCCGTTCTTGACTGAGTGGAATTAGTTGGACCGTTGCCTGCATCACAATTGCAATTTCCATATTTGGTTTATACGTATTCGAATCTTCTACGTTATCAATATTTTTTAGCGTAAAATAAAAACTAGCCCCAATGTGAAAAGTATCACAAAATAACCAAGTTCAATTTCCTAATTTTGAAGAACGAAAATGCCCCTTAATTTCTCCAACTTCTCTTCAAAACCCACACAAATATATGTGTAGGAAATATATTGATTATGGTATACTATTATTTACTTAAAAACAAATTAATTCATTATTGATTTTTTTTTCTCTTGTACTTCTTAATAGATAGAAGGTCAATCATCATCCAAAAAGCCGACCCCTACTCCGGTATTGTTTCAAAATTTAAATTATCATTTTTTGATTTTATTATAAATTTACCACATATTAAAGTGAGAATAATCCTCCTTTTTTCCTTTTAATCCTATTCACTAACGAAAAATGAAATACAGTTGGTGTCAGGGTTAGTCACTTACCAAAAAGTTCTCTATTTTCAAGATTCTTTTATCAAAATTAGAAAAAAGAAATTGAATTATTTTTTAAGTAATATTAGTTAGATTTTTAAACCTATAAATAATATTAATGAAAATTTATATTAATATTTTTCCAATAAACTATGCGCAACACTTTTTTCTTTCATTATAGACTTTTATTCTCAAAAAATAAAAAGAATTCATTTTAAAGGCATCAAAATGAAAAATCAAATTATTTTAGATTATTTTCGGGACAGCCTTAAAGGTTTGAAAGAAAATTTTGATTTTCAATTTGTCTCAAGCAGCCAGAAAAAGAACCAGAGGGTGACAAAGGAGAAGAAGAAGAAAAGAACAAAGGCAAGACGCCAGAAGAAGACAAGGTCCAGCATAGCCTTTTTATCTTTTCATTTTTATTTATTTTTCATATATTATAAAGTTCTGTATCTGTTGAGCATAATTTTTTTTTTTTAAATATGCTTTGGTAAAAATATTTTATTTGATATATGTTTTAACTTAGATTATTATTATTATTTTTTATTTTATTTTTTTTGGTGGAGGTAACTGTAAGGGCTAGTGAATCTTGATTTGATTTGAGAATGATGATATTTAGATGAAAGTATGCAAATTATTATTAAATTTATGGAATATTTTATCAAATTTATGACCTAAATGTTGAGTTCAGTTTGCATGTTGAGAAATATATATGATGAAAGTGAGAACTAATTTTGAAATGTACAGGTTGATAAGATCTACCCTAGAGACTTGAATATTATAGGGGGCAATGACCCAAGACAGTGGAAACCACTAGATAAAAGGTTAGAAAATCCCCCATTCTCTAATTATTATCGTCCAAATATATATATATATATATACTATCAAGGAGCCTTTGATATTACATGGGGCAATGACGAAAAATACTGGAAACTACCAGCAGATAAAAAGTAAGAAAATCCCCATTTCTCTAATTATTAAAGTCTATATATATAATTTTTTGATATTCCTTATGAATTATTAAATTTTATTGATTTAACAGTGAGAAGTAAAGTTAAAGGTAGTTATGACTTGGTAATTCAAGCATGATTTACTAGAGTTTTCTTCTTACAGTAGCGTATAATATCTATGAATCTGAAAAATCCCGCATATATTTCACTGCACAGGTCAACAGATCCTGCAGGGCTAATTAAGGTGAGTTGGCTTCAGGTAAACGGCAGCAAAAGAGTAAAAATTGGAAAGTCATATGAAATAAAGTTCAACATTTCTTTCACGGAAAATTCCTTTGGGTGGAAGGGAATCCCACTTTTTCTGATGGCTAAGATTGGGCAAAAGGGAAATTCCAAATATCATTTGATTGAGCCACTGGAGCAGGCTACACCTGGTGCTCAATTTTATATTCCTAAGCCTGAACACAAACAGTTCATCGTTCAAATTCCACCTGGTAAAAAAGGCGAGTCAGGTGAAGAGGACCTTTGGTTTGGTTTATATGAATGTTGGAATTCAAAGTGGAAGGGAGGATTGCGTATTCATTATGCAACTGTTGAAGAAGTAAGCGTGTCGAATTAAGCTTTGTTTGTGCTCAGCAAAGTTGTCAAATGAATGAAGACTAGAAGACAACAGATAAATTGGCATTTCCTGCACTGATAATGTTTGTTATATTGTACATATATTAATATATTAATAAAGTGGTGCTTCTAAATAGAGCTGGCTGTGCCAGCCCACCTTAAAAAAAGGATGGTACAACTTACGGCACGGAAAAAAGTATGGCATGACAAGGTTGACGATCATGAGGACCATGTCGTGGGGTTTTAAAAAAAGGCAGCTGGCACGACACAGCCTGATAAAAAATTAATTTTTTTTAATTTTTCATACTCTAATCTTCATTGGTATTCTATATTTGTATTTTTTTCATATAATAAAATAATAAAACATTAAAATATTAATTAAATTTCTATAATTTTCTATTTTTATAATTAAATTATAAATACAAACTTAGAAATTAGATTAAGAATTAATTTTAACAATTACATCTCTAGTAAAAATATAAATATACAAATATAATACTATTATCTCAATTTTGATTCTACTTCACTCAACCCTCTTCTCCGTAACCTTTTGATATCCTTATGTCTTGTGGTCAAAAAGATTTTCATCGAACATTTGATTATGATTAGTTATGAAAAATCAGTTGTTGAAGTTTTACTCCTCACTCAACATCTGTGTCTCTCTCATTTATAATCATATTGAAGAGTTTATGAAAGTGTTGAGTGGGTGTTTGAAGTGTCGAGTGAAATGGTTGGCAATAGCCATGCTTATGTTTCTGAAACTAGGGATTTTGAGTTAAAATAGTAAATAATATTAAAGATGTCAGAAGCTAAAGAAGAAGTAGTAGTAAAGAAGAAGAAGAAGAACAAAGAGGCAGAAGAAGCAGTATAATCTGCTAGAGACTGCCTTAGAGAAAGAAGAGAAACATAATATCAATTCTGTGAATTTTGTATTATCTATAATGTTTTGTACAAAAGATCAATTTATACAAGTATAAAAATATGTAAAAGGCGAACATATCTCATGCTTTAATATTGTAATCTCACATAATTAAGGATGTGATTAGCATGAATTATGCTATGTAATAATAACATAATATTTGTCATAATGACAAATATTAGTTTTTCTAATTAACAATATTCATATCTTCAAACTTCTCCTCAAACTTGTGGTTTGTATATGTCAGAAACGCCAAGCTTGTGTAAGAGATATGAATGTTGTCTGCTACACAATGATTTTGTAAAAATATCGGCTGGCTGTTTCAAAGTTCGAATGTGCATTGTTTTGATAATCCCTTCTGGTATTTTCTCTCTGACGAAGTGATAGTCAATCTCTATATGCTTTGTTCTCTCATGGAAAACTGGATTTGCCGCACTATCATTTGCTGCCTTATTGTCACAATACAACTGAATAGGTCTTTTGACTTGTATCTCCAAATCTCCTAATAATCCAAGGATCCAAGTGATCTCACATGTAGTTTTTGCTGTTTATTGATTCAATAATATTATTGACAAAATAAAAATTAAAGCAAGTCAATATGTTATTTTTCTCAAATATATCAGAAGTGGAGATGGAACAGAAAACTATTGTTGATATTAATAATGTCTAAGATAGATAAATAAAAATACAAGGTGATGAAATGAGGGTCTGAAATGTTGAATGACAGCTTAATATTATTACATATAACTAAGCAAGGTGTTGACACATACACATTGACATGAGCACTCTTATGTACAACCAAATTACATAAACTACCGCTTAGATGTGCCACAAGCCAACAAAAACCTCATCATCATCATATTCTTCATCCACTAATAGCAGCTTCATTTTTCTCTCTCACCAAGCAATTTATGAGAAAAATTCCTAATTTTGGGTAGAAACGATTATCGATCTTAGCCACCAATGGGTGATAGAACATCCTCATCTTATCATCATCATCATCATCATCATAATCTTCATCCACTCGTAGCAGCTTCATTTTTTCTGTCTCACCAAGCAATTTATGAGAAAAATTCGTAATTTTTAGCAGAAACGATTATCGATATTAGCCCACCAATGGGCGCTAGAATCATCATAGAATACCCAGAAATATGCAGTTCTGAAAGAATATATATATATTATTCAAGATAAGCTAGATCTCTTTGGTTTGTGGATGGCAAGCCACATCACACAGGAGAGCTAAGAGCATAAAAGCATAACAAAATTTTAATTGAAAGTATAAAAATTTACAAGCTTTTGTAGTTTCAAAATGTCTAAGACAATGCTTACTGTAAGGAATTGATATGAAGAGGCAAAAAGTAGCAATTCAGGATGTTAATACTGCCAAAGTATGCTAAGAGAAGAGAAAAGAGGAAAAGATTTCTGTATATTTCATTTTTGTATAAAACTGTACAATGCTAATTTATACGCTTTTTGTAATTGTAAAAATGGAAAACAATGAATACAATTAAATGTAATTATTCAATTAATCACATAAATTATGGATTGATTGAATGAGAGAATTGCTCCTTGATCACAACCAGCATGAATCAAGGAATTTGTGCATTCCATATTTCGTCGCTTCCCCTTAAGCTTGTGGTTTGTAAATGTCAAAAACTCCAAGCTTGCTAAGTAAATATGAATGTTGTCTGCTGCACAATGGCTTTGTGAAAATGTCTGCTGGTTGTTCTAAAGTACGAATATGCAAAGTCTTGATTACCCCTTCTTGTATCTTATTTCTGACAAAGTGGCAATCAATCTCTATATGTTTTGTTCTTTCATGGAATACTGGATTTGCTGCGATGTCATTTGCAGCTTTGTTATCGTAGTATAACAGGACAGGCTTTCTTACTTGTACCTTTAGATCTTCTAATAACCCCAAAATCCAGATGATCTCACATGTTGTTTTGGCCATGGCTTTGTATTCGGCTTCTACTGAGGATAGAGATATTGTTGATTGTTTCTTGGTCTTCCAAGAAAGAAGAGCTCCCCCTAACTTGATACAGAAACCTGTAAGTGACTTTCTTGTCATTGGACATGTGGCCCAGTCTGAGTCACAATGAGCTGTGACAACTAATTCTTTGTCTAGGGGAATGAGGAGTCCTAATCCAGGACATCCTTTCAAGTACTTTAGAACTTTTATTGCTACATCCATGTGAGATTGTTTGGGCCCATGCATGAACCGGCTAAGAATGTGGACTGCATAACTAATGTTTGGACGAGTCATGGTGAGATAGATCAATCGCCTAACAAGTCTTTGATACTTTGTAGGGTGGTGGATCATTTTCGGAAGATGATATCCCACTGTCATATTCTTGAGTAGTCAGCTTTGTATTATGTTCTACTGGAATGATACTTGGCTTGCATCCTGATAGTCCTGAATCAGAGATAGTTCCAAGACATATTTTCGTTGGCTAAGGGATATTCTTGCTAGGGATCTTGCAATTTCAATGCCTAGGAAATACTTTGGCTCTCCTAAATCCTTTATTCGAAATTGTCTGTTAAGATGCTCCTTTAAGGATTTGATGCCTGTTTCATCATTCCCTGTAATAAGAATGTCATCGACATATATGATGAGAGCAATAAAAGTTTTACATTTGTTCCAGGTAAATAATGCATAGTCATGTTTGGACTGAACAAATCCTATGCCAGTGAGAGCTTTACTAAATTTCTCATTCCATTGCCAGGATGCTCGTTTTAGCCTATAGAGTGATTTCTGCAGATGGCATACTGTGTTCTCCCCCTGTCTGCGTAATCCCGGCGGAAGATCCATGTATATTTCTTCATGAAGATCCCCATGAAGAAAGGCATTATGAACATCTATTTGATGGAGAGGCCAGTCACGAACATAAGCCACTGTAAGAAAAGTACGAACGGTGACATGTTTGGCTACGGGTGAAAAAGTGTCTTGATAATCAAAACCTTCCAGCTGACTGTATCCCTTGGCCACTAACCGAGCTTTGTACCGTTCTATGGAACCATCAGCACGATGCTTGATTTTGTAGACCCATTTACAGCCAATAGGTTTTCTATGAGAGGGGCGAGGCATGAGATCCCAAGTATGATTCTGAGAGAGAACAGTAAGCTCAGCAGCCATGGCTTGACGCCAGTAAGAGTGTTGAACAACCTTTGAGTAACTAGTGGGTTCTCTTTCTGGGAAGATGTTACTGATGCAAGCTCTATATATAGGAGAGAGATGATCATAAGTCACATAATTTGAGGTGGGATACAGTGGAGTTGAAAGATCTGAATTGGTGGGACACTCATAATCTGCTGCCTAGATTGGTGGTTTGGTCTGACGAGTGCTACGGCAGACAGAAACATTAGGAGCCTGAATAGGAGAGCTGGGTGGAGGAATAAGGAGTTGATCCAGTGAATCTGCTATAGTGTTATCAGTGTTGGTTGTGTCAGAGTCAATAGTAAGAGTGCTAGGCTGAAGAACTGGTGGATTAGGAACCATAGTGAACAGAGGATCTTGAAGAGTATCATTGTCAGGGAACACTTGAGGTGATGGTGATGGTGATGGAACAGTGTCTTCTGTGGCAAATGGAAAAATGTCTTCATGAAATACAACATCTTGGGAGATCAAAAACTTGTTTGTAACTGGATCATATAGCCTGTATCCTTTCTGAAGCATAGGATATCCCATAAAAACACAACGGGTAGCCTAAGTACCAAACGTATCATGTGATCCAAGAGTGACAACATAACAAAGACAGCCAAAGACTCGAAGATGATCAAGAGATGGTTGCTTCTTGAATAATGCCTCATAAGGGGTCTTTCCATGAAGGACTCTACTAGGCATGCGATTGATTAGGTAGGTAGCAGTGATCACACATTCGCCCCAAAAAGAGATAGGTAGGTGGGCTTGGTGTTTAAGGGCACGAGCTACTTCTAGGAGATGACAGTGTTTTCATTCGACAACCCTATTTTGTTGTGCAATATAGGTGCAAGAGCTTTCATGCAGTATCCCGAGTGATGAAAAAAGGGAAGAACAATTATGATTAAAGAATTCTCTAGCATTGTCTGTTCTAATCCTTTGGACAAAAGTATGAAATTGTGTGTTGACCATGGCTAGAAAGTGTGTGATGTGGGTAAGTGTTTGAGC